TGGAGTGCCTTCCAGCAAAAAAGAGGGGCAAAAAGGCTTATTTTCTTCCCATTTAAACAGAAAGGGAATGTTAAATGTCTGTGTGATGCAGAGAGGGTACAAGACCCACTGGGCTGGTGGCTGCAGCCACCCTGCAGGCGCCGGGCGCCAGGGCAGCACTGACAGGCACCCAGATGTGTGCCACAGCTGTCCCTCTGGGCACAAAGCAGCTCCCCTTAGCCAAATAAGGAGGGAGAGGCATCTCAGCTCCACATGCCCATCGCATGATTGTCAAATATGCCTGTAATACAACTGAGTCAGAGGGAATGATTGCTGCAGCACAGTTGCTTTGGGAAGCCTCCCTCTTGTAGGCTGAACTGCAACTAACAAATCTCTGTTAGTTTGGTTGAAAAATGATCATGGCAGTGATGTCTCCTCACTACAAAGGATTGTTTCCCACTCTGCTGTCATTAAAAAGAAATACAAACTAGCCAAACTCATTCTTTACCAAGACTCCCTGAAAATGGAACATTTTTTGGACAAAATAACTATAATTCAAACTGCAGCAGCCAGCGCTGTGCCTGCTTTGGTAGCCAGCCAGTGAATTTTCAAGTAAACACCCTCCAGGACTGTTCTCCATTTGGATTTATTAGTCATTACCAAGAAAAGATAATTAGCACTTCTGAAGCATTGTGATAATCAGCAGCACGGAGTGTTTCCCATAGAAACGGCCGGGTCCGTGCAGGATCCGCAGCTCCGCTGCACTCCCCGTGCGGAACGAGCACACGGGTGGGCAGAGCTCAGCTGGGGAATGCTCCCAACCAACTGCTCAGGGGTGCTAATGACACCTCACACAGCAGGAGGCAGGGAGGGGAGCTGTGCCCTGGCCTGTTGGGCTTTTCCTTCTGTTCTCCCGGAGGCAGAGTCACTTTTGTTACAATATGCAATCCTCCTTGTTGGTCAAAGGCAACGGCACATACCACTTCTTTACTGCACAACAGGAAAATAGAAGGTAATTATTTTTTCTTTTTGCATGCACTCTGCCAAAAAAATAGAAAAAGAACCTTGTGGTAGAACAAGAGCGTGATACTTTAGGCAATGATGTGGGCTTTTTATAGTCCTCTTTCAAAATGAATGAATGACAAAACTCTGTTAAGACTAAAGTCAGTGCTAAAAACTTGCAGAATGGGTTCCCCAAAGTTATTGGTCCCCAAACTTCCATTACTTAAGATCTCTAATAATCATATGAGAGATGGGATGTAAATCTTCTGTTCTTAAATCTCAAACCCTGAGCATTAAGCATGCCATGCTCCCTGCCACGCATATTACTGAGCTCAGGGAAGTCTATCAGATTCATCAACATTGCTATCTAAATAAATACTACAATACATAGGTTTTTCTGAAGCAGTTGTCTTTGTTTTTCTGTATCTGGAAGTGTGAACAAAATCCATGCTGAGTGAGAGAGGAAGCATGTAAGTTTGGGAAGTCTGCTGTTTTGATGAGCATGATTAACAAATACAGCTGGAGGATTTACCCCGAAGTACTTGTAAATTTGCAACAACCATTCTCTTTCCCACATTGTACAGAGCATTTCAAGCCAATACAATACTCTTCCAGCCAAGAGGTGCTTTGCATCTCTGAGAAGCATGCAGGAAATCTCAGGATTGAGTGCAGAATGTAGGCAAAGTACTTCATCTGCAATTGTCGCGGGGGCTGTGGTGTGGTGAGCTGGTAGAGGGTACCACAGCCCTCTGATTCCTGTTGATGATGGCCTTTACTCACATACATCTTCCCTGCCACACATGGAGCAGAGGCTCTTAGGACTGAGATTCCAATGCCAGCAATGCTCATTAATGCATCCAAGATGGGACCACCCTGGCAACATCTCACTTGTTGATGCACTCAAACTATTCAAGAACATTTGCCCCTCTTCCAGGAAGATGAACGCTGTGGCAAGTCTGATTATCATCAGGATGAAGTTTTCCTGATCACAACAAATGTGATGGGCTGGTGGCTGTTTGCAAGCTACGCCTGCAAAAGCAAATGGATCTGTGAGTGTTTGCTTTTCAGCTGCTGCTGGGAAACAGGCACCCTCCTGCCAGGTCACAGACCAGCTACGTTACAGACCTCTTAAAGCAGCTCCTCGGTGGCAGAGGTGGATGCTGAGCTTGTGCTGAAATAGCTGCCCAGTACACAGAAGTTGCTATGGCAGTGCTTTGCAAATATACATCGCAGAGCAGAGCGCTGACGACTCTTGCTCTGTGTCTCGCACAGAAGCTCTGCTCCCACCCTGGGAACCATGGAGCAGAACAAACACCAGAAGATAATATCTATCCATATATATCTCTGCTTAAGTCTATTGTCAGATTGCATCTGACTGTGAAACAGGGCTTAAAACACCTGGGTAACAATTTACATATTATGTCAACAACAGCATCTCTCCCCTCCCCGTCCCTCTCTCCCCCCTGCAGTGCAGAGCGAGCTGACTCCAGAGCATCCTTCGCAGCAAAACGTGTCTCGGCTGCATCGTTTTGTCTTCATGAAACTCCTTTAATTCGGGTACTTTAACACCTACTCCTGCCTCTGCTGCTGGTGCTATTGCAAACAAGGAATGTGGCTGGGGAACACAGTCTCCCTGGAAACCTGCCCCTGGCCTAAGAAAGTCCTTTCGGGTGCCTGTGCGGCACTGGAAAGCCAAAGGACTCATGGGTTGAGCACCTTTCATGGCTGGGCTGCTTTCACATGGAGTGAAATCAGCCTAGATCAGATCTGGAATCCCTCAGTGAACAGATAAATAAACTGGGCAATTGCATCTGCATCATTTAAGGGGAAAAAAATAAAAATACTGGCCTGAGTGCACCAGGCTGCTGTGAGGAACCTGAGAGCAGTGTGCTTCCCTTGGTGCAGAGGGAAGGCTGGGGATGGGAGTTCTCTGATGGTGTGGGCTGGGAGCAGCACAAGGGCCCAGCTCTCCATTAGCCTGCAGATTTCCAAATAACTGTAAACAACGCTGACTTCAAGTCTGCTGCCAGAGCCTCAGGCTCCGTAAGAAACAACCCTATCTTATTTATTGCCTGAGGATATTATTATTTCCAGAGTGAACTAGTTGTGGATCACAATACTGGACAGAATTATAGTACAATGTGTGCTTTAGTGCAAACCTACTTATGAAATAGTCGCAAATCTTTGGACAAAAATGGGCACAAAGCCCCAACCTTTTTTTTTTTGGTAGAAAAGTGCAGCAAATTGCTGCATCATCTTTACCTTGGGACTGGTCTGCACAGGGCTGGCTCTCGTGTGACAGCACAGTCTAGCCTCACCTCGCTGCCAAGGCCCTGGGGAGGTCACAAAGAGCCAAGGAGCAGCTCAGCAGGGGCTGTGCCAGCTGCGTCCCCTCCCTGGCCGTGCCAGCACAGGGAGGCTGTGTGCATCAGAACCTCCTCACTCCTACATCTGATAGGAGACACAAAATGATGCCACTGAAGGCTCAGCTCCGTACCTCTAATGTGAAATTTCTATGGACAATCCAAAGATTTAGTTTTAAGGAAGAAGAAATTCATATACACCCATACTGTGTTCAGCACACTTTCCCTTAAAAGACCGCTGCCTCCTTCTGCATCATCAAAAGCTGGGTATGAAAATGTTTTGTGCCACGAGTAGTAATGTGGTAAAGCACAGAGTTCAGTCACTATACACTGGTCAACACTATATTCCTCACTAAACTGATGCCATAGGTGATTAATAAGAATGAAGCTCAGAGCTTATAATTAGTTACTTCATGTAAGGCCTTTAAATAAATACGTAAGTGGAGATATTTATGTGTTTTTAATACTAGTTCAAGTGTGAACTGATTTGGTCTTTGGTCTTTATGTTTTGTGAATTATACTGCAATAGCAGCTTTATTTTTAAAATAGTATTTTTAATTTAAATGAAAATTTAATTTAAAATTGTTCTAGGCAAGTGCTACACTAAATATAGTGAGCATATACAGTATATAAAAGCAAGGCAGGAAAAAGGATAATCAAAATAGATGAAATATTTTGTAAACAACATGTATTGCATGTCTATTTGGTGCAACTGTCATCCTTGTCCTGTCAGATCTGTGGGGAGACAGCCACATACTTAAACACAACTTGGTCAAGTTAGTTGGTGAGTTTACTCCTATTTAGAGCAGGTCTGGGCTTTAATTCAGGGCTTGGGGGGTTTATTTTCAATGAACACTGAAAGGTGCAAGTGCTTTGAACAGCTGTACCCTAGCACGATCTTTCTACAGTCACCTTGAACCAGCACTTTGAAACAAGCCCTGCTATTAATTTGAACAGGAGGTTAGCCAGGCACCTGTGAAGAAAAAGGCATTCTCTGTTTCTGCCTGTTGCAAATTCTTCTACAGTTTGGCTTGTCTAAGCTAAGCCTGTAGACCTGAGCCCCGTCCTGGAATTACTTAGCCCAGTTCTAGGTGGCACTTTTCTGCTGGGCTCCTTTTTTCTTTATCTGCTTGGTTTTGGTGTCTGTGCACGCAATGAAAGTGCTTAGCTGCAGGGAGAAGCTTCAGAGCTCCCTGGGTATGACGGTGAAGGGAATGACAGGGCTGCTGGATTCCAGGTCCAGGGCGGTAAGGAAACATTCGATGGCCGCTTCGTTTCTCCCCTGAGCTTGCAGGACCTCTCCAAGGCTGTTCCAGGCGGTGTGGCTGGTGCTCTGGATGCGGATGGCATCTCTGAGCACTTTCTGGGCCAGCTCCCTCCGCCCAAGTCTGCTCAGCACCAGGCCCTGCCAAGAAACAAGTGAGGAGCAGTTAACAGCAGGGCAGAAGAGAGGAAGAAATGAAGCACTCCAAGCTCCCACCGAGCTGCCCCACGAGTGCAGGCACAGGAGTCCCACGGAGGGGGCATCTCCACCTATTTCTGAAGAATAAAAGTGATCAGTTGTTAAGTTCTGTGGTTTTTGATAGGGATGCATACTTTAAAAAATAATAGTAAAAATAAATTTTTAAAGCAGATTCAGATTCAGCTCTGCAAGTGCTCCTGCTGTGTGTTAGTGGGAGAGTGTTCACTGGTGCTGTACAGAAGAAAGGTTACAGGCCCTGGAAACATCCCTCCCTCCTTGCCCAGAAAATAGACATAGGTTTGTCTACAGCCAGCATCTGAATTCATTCCTGCACATCTGCAACACCCAGCTGAGGCTGAAGTAAAGTCTCTCATCTCCTACATCCTGACCACACGGAGATCTTTCTTCTCAACAAACGGGGGCAGAGGGATGTGGTCTCCTTCCAGCCTTCTATGGGCAGGCTGTATGTAACAGCATGGGAAATAACTCTGTCCCCCTGCACTTCAATGTAGATCCTAAAGCAGCGTGGGGGAAGAGAAGGATGGAGGAACCTTGTTTAAAAAGCTGTCCTTAGGGTAAGAAAAGACACAAGTGGGTGTAACCATCTGGAAGGAACGGGAGGGGGAGGATGAAAGAAGTGTTAGGAAGAACATGTTTTCCTATAGGGCTCTCATGGATGTGTCTGAACCCACAAAGCACCTAATGAGCCAGGCTCCCTGTTAATTACACAGCAGTCAACCAGCCCAGATGGTCTTGCAGGCCACAGCATATCCGTGGCATTTCTCTGCTTCCTCCTGAAGGTGCACACAACCAGGATGAACCTTCCACCAGTTTCATCCAGGTGTGGCCTCTGGAAGAAGCAGCCAGCACTGCCATGTCACCTGCCAAGCTCTGCATGGCCTCTGCCCACATTCACCCATGGAAATGCTAGCAGGTGAGATGACTGCCTGACTTCATGCTTTTCCTGGGACAACGTAGTAGGTGGATGCATATATATATGAGGAAAAGCATTAGCTTAATTTTTAATCTAATTGCCTTTAGTGCATATGAAAAGATGTAACAAACCTGAAATCTCTCACAACTAGAACCCAAGTAAATTTCTGATGAAAGAATGGTGATGCTTGAAGAAATAGTGAAGATTTTTCCTGTGGTTTGTTTTGTTTGCTTTTACAAAAGTACCATTAAACACAGAGTGCATCAGCATCCTTAAGGCCAGTGATAGTACTAATACCTACAGAAACACATTTATTTCCCTGAGAGAAAAATTAAGAAACAGCCATTTAATCAAATATTGGCGGTGCTATGGAAAACTTCACTGCCTCCTTCTTGCCCATAACCTTGACCTGAATAATCAACTCAGTATCAAATCTGATCGTTTAGAGATGCAGTGGGGGTGTTTTTTTCTTTAGGTTCCTCTCTATGTAGGAAAACGACAAGGCAACAGGGTCTAATGTTACAATCCCCCTGAGAGCAGGCATAGGTGGCACAGGGGTTCCCTGGTGGCAGAGGCTGGTTCCCCTGGAGGTAGCTGCCTGGAGATAACTGCAGGCACGAAATGCCAGACTGGAAGGAATTTGTGCAATTATAATTTGAGTCAACCGCTTGACAGGGATAATGAGGCATAGAAAGGGCAAGTAGTGTGGCCACAGCAAATCTGCTGCTGAGCCAAGAATAGGCAGGAGCTATCTTAGCTCAAAGTTTGTCCCCAACCACAAACCCACTCTTCCTAAAATCTCTTCCTGTTGTGCTGATGGAGCAGAGCCGATTGTGCTCTCTGGTGGCAGGGGAGCCAGCGCTGTCCTCAGCCTGACACTAAGCAGCATGGAGCCTCTCAGTGCTCTCAGAGGGCTGCTGGCCCTGCAGGCTCAGGGGCCAGCAGCCCATGCAGCTGCTGCCTGTCATCCTCTCCAACGAGGAGGGAATTCCCTGCCCAGCTGACATCTCGCACCTCTCAACAATGCTGCAGTGAAATCCACCTCGTCGTAAACTGCTCGTGCAGCACAGCTCCCTTGCATGCCCCAGCATCCTTGCTGGGCAAGAACCACAGCCTGGTGTGGCTTCCCTGCCGTGGCTTCCCAGTGTTTGCTGTGCCTGTGCTGGAGCACTGTGTTCTGCACATCCAGCTGTGTGCCCACCAGGACAGATGCCCACCAGGAAGGACAGCTCATGTGAAAATTTTCTCTTTGGTATTCAGCTCTTTCAAGCTTGCCATTTGGCAGAGAAAATATCTGTGAATCCACAGAGAGAGCTATTCCAGGCTCCCCAAAGCCAGGGGAAGGCCTCCCGTTGATGCTACAATATACTGCACAAGTGAAAAACTGCTATGTTTTTGGAGGAAACATTCGCTAAAGCAGTTTGAGATTTTCACCTCCTCCTTGCTTACACACACAGCTGCTGGTGCCAAGTGCTGCCCAGGTCTGTGGCCCTTCCCAGGCATGCCACCATCCTACTTCCCCCTTCTGATGAGGAACAGCCCCATGCCCTCTTCCTGCATGCATGCCTGGACTTCCACGCAGCCTGGGCACATGGCACTGGGCTCCAGGCTCAGCCCAAGTGAAGGTTTTGGGGTTCGGCCAGCCCAGGTCTGCCAACACTCCCCAGCCCAGCACAGACCTTCTCCTTTGCCCAGAGTGAGCTGTGACAGATGGTGTCAGCCCTTTAGCAAGGCTTAACTGAAGCAGCACAAATATGCTGCTGATGTTTAAAGGACAGGTTGAACATCATTCATTCTGTGTGCAGGAGAGTTTCTGGTTTTGCATTTCCTCTCTTCCTCTCTCCCCTCCTCCCCACATGGCTCCTTGCAAACCACAAGCATTTTGAGAGCTGGAGGCTGAGCAAACCTCAAGCCTCAGGAAGACGTAGCACTGAGCACTTGAGTTTTTGTTTCTCTGAGGTATTTGCACTTGAGAGCTTCTCCTTGCTACTGAATTTCTCATTTCCCCATGGAGTCTGGCTTGCTATAAACAATGCCTGCATGTTGTTGCTATGTAGGTCCAGCTGGAATCTGCCTACAGTACAAAAGAAAAAAAATTATATCTAAATTCAGAAAGCCACCCACTGACAGGCAATTTGCATTTTTATCTGGAAGATTTTTTTTTTTTAAAGATTTTTCTAATGAAAGTTCAGCTCCTGAGTTTCTATGGAAACTCATCTGCTTGGTGTGCATGCATAATTTCATAAAGTCAGGTCTCAGGAAGAGGAGCAATTAGTAGAAATACAAGCAGGAATGTGATTAAGGGTTTCATCCTCTTATTCCTGAAGATGGAGGGTGGGACTGGGTTTTGTTGTCTTTCCTCAGTTTCTATTTGTCTTTTTGCCAAAACAATGCAGAAACTGATGTACAAGGTAGACTGACTCCTCTGCCACCTCCTGGCTAGCACTGGCACTTCTGGTTTTGCCCAGTGATTTTCCTCCCAAAGATGACAAGTACCTCTAAGTATGGCCCTCTCTGTCAGTGGTGCTGGTACTGAGTCAGCCTCTAAGGAGCAATGAGGACAGGCTTATTTTTAAAACTCAAGCGTATTATAAATAGTAAAAAAAAAAAAAAAAAAAAAATCCCAAACCAACTCAAAAGGTGAGTGGTTTTTCCTTCAAACTCCTGTGGGCAGCCCAGCCCCTTGTCAGACACACAGAGGCATTTCACGTCCTGCACCAACACAGCTGCAGAGTGCTGGGTGCAAATTCACTCACCCGCTCACTCGAGAAGGTCTGAGGGTAACCTCTGCAAATGAATTTGGTTTCTTCTTCAGGTCTGGAGATGTACCTTGGCTCTTGCAAACAGAGGCAGAGTGTGAGAGACGGCGCTGAGAGCTCTGGCAGAAGCTGAGGTGGAGGCTGGCACAGCGACACCGGGACAGCCCAGCGGGCTACGAAGGCTGAGAGGGGACAGCGAATCTGCTCTGCTGATTTAATGTGCCTTATGCTGACAGCTGGACTCCTGAATTGATGGCTTTTCATTTCAGGGAATAGAGGGTGCCTATGGGAAGCTTTTTCAAAAGTATTTTTGACCTCATCTGCATGCAAAACAAACAAAACCTAAACCACTTCTATGGTGACACTGGACTGAACTCCCTTGCCTACAGTGATGTGATACTCAGTAACTGATACTTGTGTGAGGCTATTTTTGTTTTAGAATAGGAGAGCCATATTTCAATTTAAATTAGATGAGGAAAAAAAGTGACTTATTTTCAATTTTCAATAATAAAGAAAGTGAACATTAGCCACTCCTGAAGTCCCACTTTTAGAAGGTCATGAAATTTCTACCTGTGCCTTTATTTCCTTAGAGTCTGACAAAACCTCTTCAACTGTTAGCTCATAAAGTTCCCAGAAAACAGTGCAGGAACGACATTATGGAAGACTACAAAATAAGCCTCATGTACAAGCTGGGGATTATTTTTAGTAATGAAAATCAAAACTTCCTTTGCAAATGTTTAGTTCAAACACCTGATGAGCTGCAGGGAGCTCTCTCCTTCCAAATAGGTGGCACAGATTAGCTCGTTCTTTCCTTTGGGGCTTGTATTGGAAAGACATGTACAAAAAAACATTTAATTTCATTCCTGAAAGGTTGCTTTTTTGTTGTATTTGCAAGGTCATCTCATTTTTGGAGAATTTGTATAGGTAGACTAGACTCTATCCTTTACAAATGGATTTTAATAATCACATTAAATGAAATTCTCACTGTCTTTGCATAAGACTCTGATTCCAAAGTGAGGTTGTCTCTGATGCTTGTCTCTATTTAGCAAAGCATTTCTGCCTATTATTTCTGAATGCCCTAAGAAGTTTCCAGAATTAATCAGACTTTGCCGCTGAGCTTCCTTAAGTGCATTATTTAATTAATTTCAAGGTAAATGCAGTATCCTTACTGTTTACTCCAATCTGTAGTGTGGACATGTCACTTGTGGTTAGTAGGAGGGTAATCAGCAGCTGGCAAAAGCAGGGCACGCTGCAGAAAAGTGATTGTTCAGAAGTGTGCTTATTCAGCAGAACCCTACAAAAAGCCTTTCAAGATGCATTTGGCATTTGGTGATAACAGTCTCATGTAACAGAAAAATCCACACTGCTACAGGGCAACACATGCTTCTGTAATTATTTCGCAATCAGAGGAAGTTGTGAGCAAAATCTGTTGCATTAACCATGAAATACCAGTGTCCTTTTAGAAAATGGCAAAGATTAACCCTGGAAATAATACGTGTCCTAGAATAAAGACATAAAAGTAGCCAATTGCCCTGTGATTCTTATCCCCTACATTCATAACCTTTACATCTCTTAAGAGCCAGGATTTTTTCTAGCTGTGAGCAATGTAGTGAGTTTTTGTTGCGCTGTCACTTAGTCACTCAGTGCCTAGCAGCGTGGGGGTAGCTGATCACCCATTCTGCTGATTCAGTCCAGGTTATGGTGAACCTGAGCTATACATTTGAGCTCTTTTTACTGGAGGGGCACTGTAGGAGTACAGGGAGCAATCAGAGTCCTCTCACTGAACTGAGTTAGAGACCACATCTTGATTTGTTGCCCTAACAAAGGATGACTGGGATTCACTTCAGGGAGAAAGCTTGTCTTTCAGTGTTTCTGCTGCCTCCTTTGTTGAGAGCAGCTTTTCCTCCTCTTCCTTCCCCACCTCCATCTCCTCTGCCCAAGCTGCTGCATCCCCTGTCAGTCAGTGACGCTGAAGTGCTGCATTTGGTAAAGCAGAGGAGGGGAAGGAGAAGGGAGGAGAGGGAAGGCAGGCAGGGCCACTGCAAAACACAGAACGTGGAAAGGAGAAACGAAGGAACAGCACTGATGGTGGGGGGGGACTAGCAAGCACTGGGAAAAGCAAAATACCTGAGACTGCATCATGATTTGCAGCACTTGTACACTGCCTGTGGGTTTTAACTCGGTAGGCTCAGCCTGGAGACTCCAGCTCCAGTACTGCAGGCACCAAAAGGCAGCCTAGCCTTTGCTGTTGAACCTTCACTGCAGCCTCTTGTGTGCTACAGAGGACTGTGAGGGAAGGGAAGAAATGAGACTGCAAGCAGGTATCAGGAGAGACAGACTAAAGTGAAAATAGTGACAGCTAAAGCCCACCAGAGACCTGGACACATGGATATGCTTTATCAATCACAGTGAGCTTGCAGGGAGAGAAGGAAAAGCAGAAGAAAGACTAAAAGTGGTGAAGTCCTGAAGAGAGGGACATCGCCTCCCTTAGCTTGCCAACGTGTTTTCCAAGGCAGTGAGGAATTGCAAAGGCAGCATCTTGCCCAGGCCCCCTGTGAGGCCAGGGCACCCTGCCCTGCAGAAGGGAAGCACTGTGCTCTGCTGCACACTGCCCTCTGCCCAGGCTTGCTGTCTCTCTTGAGTTCATCAAATGTTAGCAGGGATGTTTCTACCGTGTTTGAAGCTTAAATGTGATAAAACATTTATTGACATAAAAAGCAAACCCTAAGGCAGCATTTCAAACCAGGAGGCTCTGATCTCTTCACAGGGAGGCTCATACAAGCCTAGGGAGAATGAAGAGTTTTTCTGCCTTGTTGGATTGTCGTCACATAAGCTTCATACACAGCAGAATCATCTGCTGCATGCTGAATATTCTCTAGACAGCTCTTCCTTTGCTGAGACCTACATGGAGATTAAGCAGGAAGCAAGGAAACCTAACAGGATGCCTCAGCCACATATCTGAGAGTAACTAAATCCAGTATTTGTTTCACAGTCTCTTTTCCTAGGGAAGGAAAGATTTCTCCCAGCCCTGATCTTAGCAATTGTCACAATAATGTTGCAATACAGAACACAGGAGATTCAACTATGACTCCGGCTCATGGTGTCTGTAAAAATATGCACCAAAAGAAGTTCCCAAATAATCAAAAATAACAATTTAGAACACATAATTTATAACATAGGGTCCCAATTCTGCACTGTACCAGCTTCCCTGGCAGAAAGCCTTGTTGAAATTAGTGAGACTCAGCCAAATATAGCCAAGCATTTCAAAATCAGTGCAGAATTGAAACTGATAACCATCAGCAAAGAGAGAAAAGGCACGTAACACACATACAGGATGTTGAAGAGTGGCAGGTAACCTGCTGGCTAAAGCACTCGACTAGAAAGCAGTAGCTGTGCTCCACTGCCCGCTAATACATTTCACATTGAATAATTTGTCATTACTCAGGAACAATTCTGACAGCAGGGACAGAGTCAAGGGACAAGCTTTGGGAAGTAGAAGTTCTGGGTTTAAGTGTTCTCAGGCTAAGGAGGCTTAAAAACTTGCCTCTCTTGTGCCCAGGGAGGGGCATGATAACTTCTAACAAATGTTTTTAAGAGGGTAGGGCAGTTGTTAAGCACCCCATTGCCCAGGGGGGGTAAAAACTCTGCCTTTATTTTGACAGTAAGCAGGTGCCTATGTTTTGTTGCACCTAACAAGATGTTGCTGCAGATAGCTGGGGAATGTCTAGGCTTAAGAACTGGACACTCAATTAATCTGAGTGGCTGAGGAATAGGGAACTTCTGCTTTCTTAGGTATCCCTCCAGTGCCAGTGCTGGATATTTCCCCAGTTTTTAATGCACTGTTTTGCAACAAAGGAGGGGCTGATGCACACATTTCCAATGCACGTTATCTTCCCCTCTGCATACAGAGTACATCTTGTCTGAATGTCTGAGTCATGAACAGGTTCTCAGAGGCAACAGCTTCAACTCTGTGGATGGTCTGGGAGCCTCAGTGCCACAAAACTTCTGGCCAGAGCAAGTGTTGCATCTGGTATGGCACCGAGGAGGGGCACAGGGCAGCAAAGACATGCTGACAGAAGCACACAGCATGCCGATGTAGATTACAGCAGATGTCTCCTGAAAGGAGAGCCGAGGTATTTAAAATATCTTAATTTGCTTCGTTTTCCACTCCTGGCAGTCTCTGGGAAAGCACATGATTAATGATATCCTGCACACAACTCCGGCCAGAGCCTCCGCATGCGGCATCGAGCCGGGCAGGAACACACTGCTGCTGTCCAGCCAGCCCCTCCAGATTCTGCTCCAGTGCCTCTCATCCCACTAGGAGAATGTTTCCTTATCATCTCTCAACACAGAATCTCTCCTAAATCATAACCCTCCATGTACAAAGAGATTTTTGCTGAATTACGGTTTGCATTTTCTATTACGTGCTCAAAAGAGAATGAATGAAGAAACTCCTTGAGAAGGTAAAGGCTCGATAAACACTGCACATAACATTAGTGTAAATGGAAGCTCCAGCAACACCAGAGAGCTGTGATGTTTTCATGTTTCCCATTTGTTTGGCAAGGAGGGACTGCTGCTTCCTTCTCTTGACTGTGGCCAGCTTGGAGTGTATCAGGAAAGCTTGCTGAAAACCTGGAAGTCTTGCTAATTCCCACGGCCCTGTTTGTGCAGCTGTGTCTTATGTACCAGGAGGCAGCACACTCTGCTATTGTGCTGCACACAATTTTATTTACTGTATGGCTACAGTCTATGACTCGGTCCCGTCCTGTGATAACAAGCAGCCCAAATAGCACAGATTTTAAACTAATTATAATCAGTTTCCTTGTTTATGAAAAACACCTTTTGAAGGTTCAAGTATAAAGGGGATAGTCATTCCACCCCTTCTCCCTTCTGACAGTTCCCTGAGCACTCTCTGAAATACCACTTATGAGTTCAGCTGCAGATCAACCTGACTAGTACAATTTCTAGGCTTTCCTTTGATCTTGGAGCAGAGCACAGCAGGAGGACAATACTGCTTACTAAAGCTGCAGTGGTATCTCAAGACCTGTGTATAGAAAACCATAATTAAAGCTAGAAATTACCTGGAAGATCAGGTTGGAACTCAGTTGAGAAGCATCTGCTGCAGGTTAAGATCAGGCCAAGGATAATGTCTTCAGACCTGCATGCAAGTTTTATTCTCCAGAGATGACCGAACCACCCCAGAATCAAAATGGGATTAAGAAATGTATTGGGTTCTTCTCTCATAAGGTGTTACATACACTTTGGAGAAGAGATCAGAGAAGAGCTGGGGAGTTCTGTCCTGCAGGATTTTACTGTGGTTTCCAAAGTTATATAAACTGAGCCTGAATAATGTGATAATGAGCACCTCAGGGACATGGAGAATAACTTACCATAACAGAGAAAAGCAAGTGATTGGCACAGATAAACAGGAGCTACAGATTCCCTGGAAACGGGGATAATCCACCTCTGAGAAGCAGAGCACCAGCCCTCCCGCTAACGACCGAAATCTCTGTGCTGTGCACTG